GTGGACAGTGATTGGGGCACCATCAGAGAACCTCTACACTGGGCAGGTGGACAGTGATTGGGGCACCATCAGAGAACCTCTACACTGGGTCAGTGGGACAGCGATTGGGGCACAATCAAGAACCTCTACACTGGGTCAGTGGGACAGCGATTGGGGCACCATCAAGAACCTCTACACTGGGTCATTTGGACAGCGATTTGGGCACCATCAAGAACCTCTACACTGGGTCAGTGGGACAGCGATTGCGGCACTATCAGCGAACCTCTATACTGGGTCAGTGGGACAGCGATTGGGGCACCATCAGCATACCTTGAGGTTCTTGGGCTGCTGTCGGAGCTCCATGACGTGCTTCCTGTGCAGCTCCCGCTCTCTCCGCCTGTTGTATTCAAGCTGGTTCTCCAGCTCTGTCTGGTGCTGCAGACGGATCAAGTCCATGCGCAACTTCTGCAGCATCTTGAGCTGCCGGTGCTCCAGCTCTTGTGTGGACTCGTCGTGCCGGATCAGCATGGAGTGCTCCATCTCCTTCTGGGTCATCTTCTTGTTCAGCTCCTAGAAGCCCAGATCGAGGTCAGTAGGCCAACTCACATTAAGTAGGGCTAATCTTTTCATAAGATGATTTTTACAAAAATCGGGTGTATTAACCAAAGCATTCAATAGAAGTTGTGCAGACTGAACATTGACTGCTAAAATCAAACATTAGCTTGATATATGGCAGCTTTTACAGTCTAAATCAGAACTACCTCGATCAAAGAAGCTATTAAAATGAACCGCTGTCCCAGTACACAGTCAGGTACCCCCTTTTTCACCAATATGGTGCCAGAGCCAGTCTTTTTCCCCAAAGTGATTCTGCGAGTTTCCGCTACAAAAAACTGTCTCCAGTTCAGAAAAAACTTCTCCAGCATGGCACCACAGAAAAGCTGGTCTTAGAATTTGGAACCATGACATCAGTAAAAGCTATCGCACCGAAATGTTCCACACAGCCAGAAAATTCAAATCGATAACCGATTTGTCTAATATTGCCGGTGCTAGCAGTGAAACGGCTAGCCAGCTTACTAGCAGAATAACTTTGCATTGTTTTTGTATTCTGTGAAAAACAAAAGATCCATGTGCTGGCCAGACTCAATAATAAAGTATAAATATGTTGCAGGTCAAATAAATAAAATAATATTGTGTTTGAGTGGTGAAGAGATCATGAAATGGACAGCAATGTTTGAGTTAACTCTTGACTTATTGCGTGATCCTTAAAGACAGCGGTACAACAGCGAGCAAGAAAAAGGTTTTAAGTGTGAATGCAAAAAGTGTATATATACATGTTATTGTTTGAAAAGAGCTAAAAATCCCCCTATGGTTTTAAGGCCACCCTTTCCCAGCTACCTACTATGACACGGATGTCCCTGCGTTCATTTAGCCCAGGGGGCCCCACCTGCCACCTGCCAGTCACTCTAGCCAGCCTCATTCCTCAATCATCTACATTTATAATATACTGTGGACGGTCCTTCGCCAGAGGTCAGTTACTGCTTCAAATACCGCTTATCTTTCACTCATCATATGTTTTTATAATTACACCAATGCTTGCTGTTTTTTCCAACAGTCATAAAACAAACGTGGAAAGTGTCCGTAAAAAAAAAAAAATAATAATAAAAAAATATTTTATTTATATATATATATATATATATATTTATATATATATATATATATATATATATATATATATATATATATATAGTTACTGTCAACTTAAAATGATTAAAATCCACTAATGGTGAAATTATGGGGCCCCTCCCCTGCAGTGTAAATGTATTTGATGCATATATACATAATAGGACAGGAAGAGTAAGCAGACATAAATATGCAAACACACATTAAGCACTGATGTGCTGTGATTATATATATGTGTACAGTTGGGGTAACTCGTCATCTTGCCTCCCTCATCTGCTCCTCCTCGAACCCGTGCCGCTTGCCCATGGTCTTCTGTTTGAAGGCCCTGCAGTTCTGTTCGTAGAACATGCGCTGCTGGGCCAGCAGGTGCGCCTCCTCTTCGGCCTGCGAATGCTGTATGTTCTCCTTGTGTTTCGACAGCCGCTCCTGCTTCTCCTTCTTTGGCGTGCTGTGGTCCTCGTTCATCTCCTGGATGACGCAGATGTACATAAGTCAGGTGGGCTGAGGATTCTGGGGGTTCTGGGATCATACCCAACCGGTTGTTTACATTCTCTGTGACAGCTCAGGAATTTGAAATACTAAAAAAAATGTACAGGTTTCATACTTTTACACGAGGGAATATTAATTAAACATTTTACTTAAGGGTGCAGGCAGAATGGAGTAATACTGAATTCTGGTCCTCTAGGACCACAATAAACGTACCTGGTTATTACAGCAATTATGAAGTAAGACCTCTGTAATTGGTATAATTACTCACTGTGAGATATTTGGTTCCAACGTGTGACCAAGTATGCCAGGGAAAGTAAGCAAGGACCCCCTAATGGACTATGCTTGGAAATCGATTTCATGCAATAAGTGCCAAATACAGCCATTTCTTGAAGTAATAATAATTCTTATAGTATTAAGCAAGAACGATATCAAAAACTTAATCCGAGAGCGTGTGGATATTCAAACCGCAAGCCACCCGTCAACGTGATCAATGCCATTTCACACACGTTTAGCTTCATGCTCACAGTACAGAAGCTGCTCTCATCATCTCTCGCATTTGCCAGCCCTGGTGAATTAGGCATGTGCTGGATTTGGGTCACATGATCAAATCCTAACCCGATGACTGTATTTTAAATTAAATCAAAATGATCCTCTTAGTTTGTGATGATTTAACACATTTACTGATTTCAACTGATCAATTGTTAAAATTAGTGGGGCCAAACTAAAAATATTGTTAGGAATTTGGGGGGGGGGGGGGCAGAGGTGGGGTATAACCAACACAATCAGGTTCATGTGATTTAAACCCAGGTATTGGGAAAGTGTGAGCAATTCATTTAAAAGGAGTGTCCAGTAAACCCAAATTAGTTAAATGCTGAGCTGGATGTTGACCACAGTCGACATGCCAACTGGGAAGCCTTATCGCACTCAGAGGCAAACAAACAGCGCCAACCTCTTTAATCTTCTCCTTGCAGAGCTTATACTGCCTCTTCTGGTTATCTAAGAAGGTGGTCAGCTCCTTCTTCTGCTGGGTCATGATATGCTGCTGGAATTTCTTCTCGTCGGTCCCGGCCGTCTTCATCTGTAGCCGGAAACGGGCGGAAGACCATATACAGTCAGGGGAAGGACCGTTCAGTGTTAAGGGACTGTTCTGTGAAACCTTCATCTGCTTTTAAGCAAATCTGAAACCTCTTAACAAACACAAACCTTATTCAACCACAAGGGGAGTATAACATTTAGACCCAAAGTAATATTGTCTGAATGTGGAAATAATACACTGTTGCAGACACTAACATCTTCCTCCACTACACCGGGTCATATGCAGAATCTGTATCATTGTCACTCTTGATAACTGTTACATTCAATGGCAATTAAATGCTCCAAATGCTAATGGCGTAACACTCCATTCAATACTGCATGTACTACCTCAAACCCCATAGCATACCATAGGCTAATACTTTGAATTAAGGAATAGAATGAGTATGCTGAAAGCATTCATTCATTCATTCATTCATTGTCCTTTTGCAGTTCTACAGGGAAAGTGAGGTTTCACTGCATTTAAGAGAATAACCTCCACGTTAGTGAAAAGCAGCAGGACTGCAGGACTCTCTCCTACTCACCAATCTAATGCCAAATTTAACAGCAGGATACAGACCTGCCTTCAGGTCCATCACCATTTTCAGCAAGTGCTACAATTTCTACATGAATGTACTTACCAGTGCTACCATCACCTTTTGTGGCTTATATGTAATTATGACTGTTAAATACCAATGAATTATACTTAAATATATATTTGAGAAGGGTGGAAGTGACAGTCTGACATGGTCACATGGTGCCAAGGTCCCCGTGATGAGTATAAATTGGTACCTTTGACTCATAGTAATCTCGAGGAACCCACAAAATGCACAATCCAAGCACCATAACAAACCTAAGGTTCTTCTGGAAGGTCCACACCATTTTTGCCCTAACCCTAACCTGAGTCACGAGGTTATGTCCACTCTCCCAACCAGAGATGCCCTTATTGTATTTCAAAGCATCAGAGTGACTCATGAAGGACTGTTTAGCCTCTAGACCGAGGAGTTCGAAGGGCTGGAAGATTCTCATTATTTGAGGGATTTTGGTTACAATGTGCAGCAATGTGGCAGAAGTCCATGTCTGGATAAGTAATCCTCAGTTGATGCGTCAGGTACCCTTCCCTGAAGAAAATCCTGACTCCAGGTGTCCGCCCCAAAGCACCCACCTCCTTCTCAGTGTAGACAGCATGCTTCTTGGCCAGCTTCTCCAGCTCGATGTGGGCGTTGTTGGCCTGCGTCTCCACCTCCTTCTGCAGACGGAGCCGGTGCTCATCCATCTCGGCCTTCAGCTTGTTCTCCAGCGCGATCAGCTGCTTCTGGTGCTGCCTCCTCATGCGCTTGTACCCAGACATCTGCTCCCGCAGTTCGTTCTCCTGCTCATGCTCATGAATCTGCCGCGTAACCTGGGGGGGGAAGGCGGCAATAAAGTCCCATGAGAAACTGAAAATACCCCCTTACGCTTTCACTCATTAGCTTATGATGACAAACCCAAGAGTCCCATAATTTATAATGTTAAAACACAGTCACTGTCCGAAAGTCCAAAATCGATAAAAAAAAAACACGAGGTGGACGGACCCAGCCAGCAGTTCCAAGGCCACACATGATGAAGGGCCACATCCCAGAGTCTCACATGACGCCATAACCACAGCATAACACGAGGGCCCTGGGTGTGCAGACCAAGCATGAGCAAGCCTTGGGAGGTAGAGGGAAGATGGACACCTCTGTGCCAGCAGGGTGGTCACATGGATCCAGAGCGCAGACGGTGACACTGCACCAGCATCAAGTCACAGGCTTGCAGCTATGCACGTGAAAAGGGCCAAACTCGCACCTCGTGTTTAACGGTGAGAGATGGACAGATCGACTCTTACATGGGCTCTTCCAACTCAAAGGTCTCCCACAAGCACTGCTGCCCTTTTTCAAAAGGCCACACGAACATAATTCTCAAATCAGATTAAACATTGGATCAAATACTGAAATAGAGCAGCGTCAGACAAGTAAGCTCAACTTTTCAAAATGAACTATTTTACTATCAATAAATCAATCAGAGACTCCTCTGACAAAGCCTGTTGTAGCCGTCATGCCGTTTAGAAAATGACTCCAAAACTGCAGCGGTACCAATAACTACGATATCCAGCACTTACAGACAGACTGCTACTCCATTAAATCAATTAAGCTTCAAAGTGTCATCACAGGTCAAACCGAATTAAGCAGAATTAAATTTTATTATGGCAAAGCATGATACAATGTATCAGTGAACAACTGCACTGAAGAATAAAACCACAAAAAAATCCAGAAAATTAAACAAAACTATCGCCTCTCTCTGAAGTTTTGATGGACTCAGAAAAGGGGTCTCTGTCTAGCAGGGGTGAGGGTGGGCACACCATGTAGAAGTAGTGCCAGCAGGGGGCCTGAGTCTTTGGTGTTTAAATCCGTCCCCTCCCTTCCTGTCCCCAAGGGGGGCCTGTAATCCTCCATCACGGACACGGTGGACTGACAGCACCAGAGGCCCCCCATAATCTTCAAAGGGTAGAACCCTGTAGGATCCGGGACCAAGACACCCCCCCTCAGAATGGCATCACCCGAGTTTGCAGCCGTAAAGCGCGGCCGTGCCGAACCGGCACAGCGGGGGATCTCAGCTGACGTGTCCAATCCCATTTTCGCCTGTGAATCTTAAACATCTTAATTATTGCCTGGGTGGGACCTCATCCTTGCAACAAGTCCCCCTGGCTCTCTCAGGAGCTAAGCTGCCCCACAGCTCAGGCAGAACTGGGGAGCACAGGATCAGACATCATGCTTCAGCTGGCCCTCAGGTACCAGCGTGTTCTTACAGAATGTGCCTGATCCAGCCAAGGAGCCCAGTTTCGTGCTGCAAATGCCAGAATCCCTACAGCATTTAGGCTAACAGGCTAAAGGCTAAAGCGAGAGTGTTACATACTATGGCCAGAGTGCTAATGACTGTGGCTAAAGCGGTAAAGGCTACAGCGCTATAGGCAGAGACAGATTGTGGCAGCCAGCCGCTTGACGCCCAAATAAGGGCAGCGCTGACTTATGCCGCACTCCCGCCCTGCTTTTCTGACCACAGACACAGTTCAGAAGTGTTTCTACTTCCTCCGACACCACGCTCCATGCGTTTGATTTCCTGCAATACACTTAACCCCCTCCCCCAAGCTCATTTGACGAGGGAGGGGTCTAGGGTCATTAGCATTCAGCTAGCAGTGGTGACATCAGCGGGTCAGCCACTTCGCCACACAGAAACACGCCACACTGTTGCTGTCGGATTTTACAGACAGCAAACAGTGAAACAAACTCCTGACCCAAGCGCACAGCCATTAACAAGGTATCAACATGGATGATGAGTCTTAAATGGCTGCCTGTTGTATCCCACGGAGGACTGATTTCACGTTTCAAACACACGACAAGAAACCGATCGCCTTGACTTTGGAAAGTTCAGTACAAACAGAGCAGACCCGCACAGACGCACAGACACAATAGGCAGGTCTCTAATTAGACTGCGCCACTATTGTAGTACGTTGAGTGACTACGTCACCCGGCAGCGAGAAAAAGCCACGACAACATCTGCTTTTTCACATGTTCCGGTCACCATGACAACAGACACAGAAGAGGGTGGGGGCAGGGGGGGGGGGGGCTTTCTTGTGGAAACAGAGAGGGATGTCGAGACGGCGGGAGGAGGGGAGGCGGACAGAGGAGGTCCGGCTCACCAGTGAAGCCGACTTGATGGTGGCGAATCTCTCGCGGTTTTTGTAGCTGATGGCCTGGCTTCTCTCGGAGGGGGGGCGCACCTCCGGCCTGGGCTCCTGGTGCCCGGACTCATCCCGAATGCAGGCATGCTCCTGTGAGGAGGGAGAAAGCGGGGGGGGGTTAGGTGCTGAGCTTTCAGCCACCAAAGCTACAGTGAGGTGAGAAACTGAGGTGGCTGCTCGATATGAGGGGGTCCGAGCTACAGAAACAGAACGTGTGGAACTTGTTCATAACACCCCCCCCCCCCCAAGAAAAACCAGGCTGTTTGTTCCTCTGAGATGACAACACAGAGGGAACAAGATCTAACCTTTAAACGCTGGTAATGATTGATCTGACACTAGAGCTGTTCCTTCAGTTTATAAAGATTCCAGTGCTTCTATTTCTGCAAGCACCCAACACCCTGCCCTGCCGATCTGATATTTAAAGACACAGCTTCCTGTGTGATGCCAGCTTATCAAACGGCATGGCTGAAGAACGCCTGTCTTAAATTCAGTGTCGTCTTAAATCTGACACACAGCGAGATGTCTTTCTTCCTGTCTTCCCTGTAAGCTAATTAACAAAGGTGTCAGATGACAGGAGAAAACACGCACAAAAAACATGAAACAATCACTTTTTTTTTTTCCTGCCAACTTCAACGTTTGACACAAACACTGAACTTTACTTAAGCATAATCAAGCTAAATACCTCCAGTCAAATAACACAAGCAATAGCCCTCAAGCAGAAGTTTCATTCGGCCAAAAAAAAATAAAAAATAAGGTCTAAGATCTGGACCCACAGGATCCAAAGTGATGTTATTGTCTTCATTGTTATACGATGTTCTATCTAAAGAAAACTAGCTGCAAAATCTATAGGTTATAGATAAAAGTATAATCAAATTTACTGTTTATTCAACTGTCCAATGCAGCAGAACAAGGCCAGGCAAAGAACTTGGATCAAAAAAAAAAAAAAGCATGATTTCTCTGCGATGGACCCAGATCCTGTCAGTGGTGTGAAAAACTAAGCGTCAGTCAATGGATTTATTTGCTTTGATTAAATGCTCATCACTCAAGTGGGAACCACAATGTCCTCTGTGATAAATAATAATTAACAATTTTCAGGCAAATGAGGACACACAGTTGTCTTTGGGGGGGGGCGTTTTAGATTTTGGAGATGATTACCAATGACATCACTGTGGTGAAAAGCTAGCATACGCAGAAATGCCAATCAATTCCCAGTCGGCTTCGCTGTGCTCTACTCCTCTGTGCCCACCCTCCGCCCCTGCTCTGACCTTCTTGATGCCAGCGGAGGGCTCCGGGATGCTGTCGTAGGGTTGCATCATGGTGAGGTCGGAGCTGCTCTCGTCCATGACCTCCTGCATGCTGTTGATGCTGCTCCCCTGGCTCCCCGTGCTGACTGAGGTACTGGGGATGGAGTGGTTACTGCCCAGGCTGTTCATCTTGCAGCCGGCCTGCTCGCTGTCCTGGAGGGAGTGACACCGGCAAAGGGGTTAGGTGACCCGGCCACCAAGCCACACGCAACGCCATAAGGACTATAAATGCACCCAGAAGCACTGCTGACTAGCTGCTCCCACAAGCCGTGGTGGACTGACATACAGGACACTTTCTGAAACTTTTCTGAAAGGTCTGATTCAAAATCTGGAAACTAAATAAATTTTATATTCTGGGGAAAACATACTGATAAACGTTATAAAAAATCAACTTTTAATGTGACCAGTGAAGTAATTAATTTTTTTTTAAAAATCAGCAGGTGTGTGGCATCGAGCCGGACAGCCCCAGGGTCCTCGCGTCTCTCACCTCCTCCTCCTCCTGGGACTCGCTCATCGGCCCATTGTGTTTCTCCTGGTACAGGATCTTCTTCATCTTGCGGTACTGCAAGTTGTCCAGCTCTCTCACCGCATCCTTGGTCCTCTGGATGAGGTCGATCAGGACCCGGGTGGGGCGATCGCGCCGGACGAAGTCATGCTTGGCGGGGGCAAGATAAAATGATACATGACACCTAACTGCCCATTCGATGCTCACCCCTCCCCCGAGTCACAAGGCCCAAAAAAGCAGAAGACAGAGCAGAGACTAAGAAGGGAATGGCACAATAGACATAACTGGCCGCTAAAAACGGGTTTTTCAAGTATGAATAATTTGTGACAGCACACCAGAATCTTGGTCTGCTTTAATAACAGTGGGGCATTATGTCATGTACTACTGTGACTTTGGAAGCATGTAAAACGACTGCGTGATTTCAGACAGGCCGAATGGGGCTTATACTTCTGTTCTCCAGTAGATGGCGCTTGAAGTGTTCATTGCCCAAAAGTGGAGTCCTGGCACTTTGAAAAACATGTAGGATGTGTACAGGCTATGACACACAGCCATTCATGAAGTAGCTATGAGTGCAGATGGAATTCAGTATAAAACGTGACTTTTTTCCCCCCCCCCCTCAAGAATGAGTCATTAGTGAATGAACGTCATACAGAAGTTCTCCTTCCAGCCAACAGGTAAGCAGCTACGGCTTTAAGGATCCACGGAGCGGCTGCGAGGCAGACCGAAATGGGACTTTATATAATCTTGGAACCGAGGGGCCCAAAGCACCTTGAAACGTCGTTAAAACGAGCCTCCCAGGCACGGCTGCAAAGCAGGCTGGGTGAGGCGGGTGGGTGTGCATGAAACGCGTTTGTCTTCCCCTCGGCCAATTAAAACAAACCTCCCGTGTAGAAAAACAACGTTTAATTGGCCAAGAAGGAGGGCACAGCTTCGATCTCATTGGTGTCATGGCATGTCAGTCAATACACTCAGACGCCACACCCCTGTCTGTCTCACCCAGCTCATTCATACTGGGACATGAAACCCCACAAACTCCACCCCATTCCCCCCCGGCAACTCCCATTTAAATCACACCTTTGCTGGGAAATACAGCAAGAGTGACTGATGGACTGCATTTCCACTCCAGTCCTGCTAAATAAGTTCCCAGCCTGTATCATATAGGATGATGCCTCCTGTTTCTTAATACAAGATGACAGCACTAAACGCTCGGCCATGATTGCCTGATTATGGTGCCTTCCAGTCCCAATACAATGAGGTGATTCTGAATATGCAGCTCACATGACTGTGAGGTGTTCACTCACAAAAACAATGGCTCACCGTTTGAGGGGGGGTGGGGTAAAAAAAAAAAATGTTTAAAAAAAAAGAGCCGAAACACAAACTAACACCCAGAATGCAATGCAGCTTCTGATACATTTGAGATCGGGCACATGGACGCACACAGAGCCCCTGGCGGGGCGTGTCGCAGGGGCTCACCCGCAGCAAATCAGCTGAGAAGGGTCGGTCCTGAGGGATTTTCAGTAAGCAGTAGTCGACAAAGCTTCGGAAGGCGTCTGACCTGCGGGGGTGGGGGGCACGAAAAGAGGGGAAAGGAAAACAAAAATCAGTACATAACACTGGGATGGGTGAACAATAAACACAAAAGAAATATGTACAAAACCCCTGAAAATGTGGCTTCTAAATGACAGAGCCAGGGACACTGTGCCACTCGGGCTGGGACGTTTGTGTACGAGCTCAGCACAGTGCTGCCGGGCCCGGTAACTCATCTCAATTTAACACATTTTTATTTTTCATTCCTGACCCCGGAGGTGGAGTGGGGGGGGGGGGGGGGGGGGGGGGGGGGGGGGGCAGAGGTGGGGTATAACCAAC